CTGATTCACTTATTTGTTTTGATGTTTCCATAAAATAACATCCATTAATATTTTGGTTGAGTATAGTGCGACAAATCTATAAAACTTTCAAACGTAAACACATACAATTTTGCAATTTCTTTCCTATCTATTGTGTATAGCTTTAAAAGACACGTAGTGAATTGAATGGTTGCTGTACGCCTAATTGTTACGGCTTTTTAGTGGTTAGGGTTTTGGACTTCCGTGCAAGAAGGTTGGATTAAAATACCTGCAAAAACACAAAAATGTTAGAGACTTCCCCTTAATAAATTAGGCTGGTTGCACATAAAATCGTTTGTTTAAAAAAAATCCACATGCATAAACAACAGTGAAAATGAATGAAACTGGACCAACTTTTGTAAAAAAAATAAAATTTTAATTTAAAATAATTAATTTGGATTTAATTGTCAATTTTAATTTACAGTTTGAAATACTGCATGTGATATGGTAAAGAATACAAAAATAAAACAACTACAGATGTAATTTGAAAATGAAGAGGATTTTGTTAAACCTATTTATGTTATTATGTTACAACCAAAGTACAATATATTTCTACTCAAGTTGAACCAAGGGAAACTTGTTAATTTACAACATCAACTGTCCACATAGAGTTACTAGGCCTAAGTACTTCGGAATTACTCTGGAACAAGCTGTATATTTAATGTTTTTGACCAGAATACGATTCCCACTATCACCACTTAGTATTACACTTCAGTCCTTCCGGATATTTTATGAAATATATGTAAAATATTTTGAATACACATTTGTATGCTTCAAAAAACCCTTATAGTGTTTTCTAATACATTTTACAATATAGTTAAATACTGCATTTAATTATTGATCTAATGCTTAATATCACTGTTAGACCGGGCAAGATTCGTTTTGTGATAATGACCTAAAAAGCTGCATTTTTACAATATCTATGATATTTTCCCTAAGTCAGTATCAAACTTGATGACTTGCATTTACAAATTGTGTATCAATTTGTTTACAAAAATATTGAACACGTTTATTCTCTCCAACCACTATTACCTTTCAAATAAATCAAAAGAAACGTAAACTCGGAATTACGTATAGTATAGTAACCTAAAACTTGTAACTTTAAGTTATGGTTATTTTTTTAAGAGTTTATGACATAATACACAATCATTCTCAATTACGAAAATCATGTTCGGTATCATCAAAAACCTCTGATGGTATTTCTTGTGTGCCCATCCTAAATCTTAAAAAGATCGAAAAAGGCAGTCACTATCTCCTGCGATGGATCCAACTCTACCTTTGACCTATTGAGATTCTCCACAGATTCAATAATATATCATTTAGTTTCAGCGAAACGCAGATTTTGAAACCACAACAAAGAGTTTGATATATCTTGATTTTATAGTTCCAATGAATGATTTGGAACTAGTTCATTTGTAAAAAAAGCACAATCAAAATAATGTATTTTTTTATTTGATCTAGTTTGGAATTGTGTGTTACGTCTTCACGTATTGAAATAAATTGACTTAAATATCTGCTACCACAAATGGTACATTTATAAGTATCCATCTGTTAAAATATAAATATATATTTTCCTTGCATTAGTGGATCGGTAAAAAATTATATTATATTACATTATACAACATTAATTATCTGTTAACCATATAAAATGATTAAGCGACGATCGTGCTACATTAGTTCATGACTGAGTTTATAAATACCCGTAGCATAAATTTACATTACGAATACAGTATTCAGTATGTGACAGAATGGAAAAGGAAAGCTCTTAATATTACAAACCAATTACATTTAATCTAGCTGGTTTTATAATTGGGATCAAATAATTTGATCCAATTTCATAAAATAATCCATTTAAGATGAGAAAATGCAGCAACACAAGCTCAAAGGGTTTTAGTTTGCAGGGATATATTACACGCCCTAATATGAATAAATTAATTTTAAGCCTATTTTCTACAGGGTTTTAGTAATTAGTATTGTGTATACTAATTACTAAACTAATTACACAATGACCTAATTACTAAAAAATAATCAAGAGATAAGGCGCTACAAAATTAAAAAAAAATATTATTTGTGACTGAGAAAATAACTGGTATAAAATTATATTCAAATGTAAAAAACAAAAAGGCCTATATGGATTAAGTGTCTTGCAGAGAAAAAAAAGTTGTGAGAACTTCATCAAAATTATAATAAACATAGATTGTAATCAATTACCTATATGGCTTAACGCTAATTTAAACATTTAAATACATTTTACACTTTGAAATATTTAGGAAACACAAAAGTAAATTATAGTAATGTATCGACACGGCTCTTAACCACGCAGGCTTAAATTAACATAATATACGCGTTTTAATTAAATACATTAAAATCAAAAGTCCACTGTAAAAAAAAAACCGCCATTTTCCAATATAGATGCAGAATTTACACATCAAGCAGTTTTTCTTAGGCGTAACAACTCTGTAACTTCCAAACGAGTAGCCTTAGAGAAAAAAAATTCTTAAAAAAACATTTTTAAATCAAAATTACATTCTAAATCAATACCGTAGCTAATTGTAATAAAAGGGTATACAGCAAGGATTCTCCAAATTAACCACCATGTTTGAAAATGGCGACAACTTTTGCAAAACTTCATTGTTTTGTCTAAATATAATATATTCTGAGATATATTTATAAATATAATAGTTTCCAGTTGTGGCACATTTAAGCTGTTCACCCTGTATACTGTGCACTGTTGCATTATACCAGCTTCATTCATTGATAGTCCTACACCTCAGAGAAGTAAGATATCTTACTAAATCTTCTTACTATATATAGATATTACTATATCTATATCTTCTATATATTCTTACTATATCTTACTTCTCTATGCTTACACACACACCCGAGGCTAAATAGACGAGCAAACTGAAGGTTAACAAAGACCATCGGTTTAATAAACTCTTTAGGAACTAATACGCTGTAATAAAAATACTCCTGATATTATACAATACTTATCTTATAGTTTTAATAATAACCACTAACGTAATCATAGACTTAAAGAAATTGCTTTGTATTTGAGAGTATTTAGTAATAACTAAGGAAGGGGTTGTTTTAAATATAAGCTAAATAATTTAATTTATTATAAACACTTTTTCTTGACCTTCCAAGTTGAAGCTAATGTTGAAATGTTCTAACTAATCTTAAAATAATTTTGCCCATCAATTCAGTTAATGAAGTTAAAGTTCGACATAATATCAAAGTTAGTGCTATCTACTATCATCAAAGCTTGCGTCTGTGTGCTTGTTAGGAACTATCACTCGATTATTATTCGAAATCATTGGAAAGTTTTAGCAAACAACAAGCATCCAACAGACATTATAAACAAATGAACCGAAGTGTTACCCTTCGTATCTTGGTTATGATTATGCAAAGGGCTTGGCAATGTTAACCACCATTGATTGACAATACTTTACTCGAATGAATTAATACATACCATAACAGTTTACTCTGCATATTATTAACTATTCTTATTTTAAATTTAATTTATTTTCAATGAAATCCAATGTTAATGTATTTTGAAAGTAAAATACAAGAAACAAAAAGTCCGAACTAAAATTTTGACTGAACAGATTTTGCGAACCGGCACGATGGGACTATAGGAACGGTCGTTTATAGGTTACAGGTTGATAGGTTATAGGTTTTATAGATTTATAGGTATTCATTGGTGGGTTTTGTCCGTAAAAACATAAGTTCACGGTTTATTTCAAAACCACTTTTTACAGCTTAAAAACAAATATTTTGGTACGTTCACACATAGTTATGTACTCAATTATTAAGAAAAAATGTATATTTGAAATTCACATCTTATTTTTCTGGAGAATAAAGTAAACTGTTGTAGTTTGCTTGTCTTTGAATGTATTTTGATTAATTTTGGGATGTTTTTAATCACAAACTAAACTATTGACATTTCACAAAAAAAAAAAAAAATATTACCTTCCTGCAGCAGGGAATCTAAATACTCGTTAAACTAATGTTACGGTATTTAATTAGTTAATAAACATAACATTTTTTACGAGATCGTTAATTAAAAATAAAAATCTAATAAAGAAAATAGGAATTCACTTAGAATGCAGGTTTGCCGTGATGAAGATATTTTTAGGCTATCGTAGTTTTTTTACTTCAATTACTTTTATTAAGTTGATTTGGATAGGATGTGTCAATTATAAGTAGGTAGGGTTGTAACATCTATCTTGGATTACGAAAGCCCTTCTAAGAATCTCGTCCACGATAAAAAGAAAGTTTTCAAGATTCCCTGACATACTTACTTATTTGTACACCGAACACCATTTGACTACTGGGTTTTAAAAGGAAGTGTTTTGAAGCGTCTTACTGCTAACACTGAAAACAATGGAAGGAGGTGAGTATTTTAGGTAAAGATAATACAGAGTCCTAGTAATTTTAATGTTTATTCCTATTTTAAAATTTAATCATCCAGATAACTAATTTATTTGGATCTAGAAACTATCGTGCTTGTTGTAATCGAACGAACAGCCTTCAGAATTGAAGGCAAGCACTATAACCTTTTTCCCGACATTTAATTAAATGGTTTCCTGGTATCAAAATTTGCGGTCAGTGGAGTATAAGCATCTCATTATTTGTTAGGCCAAGAAAGAGCGGCACATACTTATGCTTTAACAGGTGAAATGTGACTCCTGAATATTTGTAACTATATTTAAATCGGTTGATTAGCTTAATTTAAATTTGAAATGGACAAATAGCACTGACAGAATTTCGTTTGAATCATAAAACTTGTATTACATTTATGATTTAGTATTTATTGTATATAGGTGTATTCATAATTTATGATGGGTTCATAAGACAGAAATAGTTTATGGTACAAGATTTCAAATTTAGGAATGTTTAAAACTATTTTTGTAGATATGGGATTTCTTCTACATAGGTCAAGGTTAGATCAAAGTCAACCAATGGGTATTCACAATGTCTTAAACATACTTTGGACTTTCATTTCCGTTTTCTCTAGAAATGCCCAAAAACTCCGAGAGAAACTTATCTGCAAAATCGATCGGATCAGTTGGCTTTTCGAAAAGAATATTCTTCATCAGGTCAGCTAACATATCATGTGCCTGGAAAAGAGAAAGTATAGCATGTAACATTAAATGATTAATTGGTTTCAATGTTCTAATAATAATTAATTAATATTACAAAAAGCACTTGCACTTGTTATGTTTTATGGTAGCAATGATTACATTGATGATGCATTATTTTTACTTTAGGTAAATGTAAATATTTAATTAATATTATTTAGTTATTGATAATGAACGGACTAGAATAGATAAATATGTGTTCAACACTCAAATTAATATGGAATTTGTATTTTTATTTTCATAAGTAATTCCACGTTTTTGTTTGCTAGAATATGAACAGAGTTAACTATTATATTCACAATACGATTTTGTATATAACCACATTTTTTACTGTAACTGTTTTCCAGTTGTAACAAAAGATTTACTTTTGAAGGTACGATGAGCTGATAAGTCATTGTGTAAAAGAAGTTCTTTTCTAAGAAGGAAACAATAATGACTTTAAATTCAAATGTATCACCTAATAAAAAAAAGAAACTTCATTTTGATTCGTAGCTAAATTATGAACATCGTCTCATAATGGGATGGTTCTAACTAGGTTCTCTATGAATAGCAAACTGATTACTGATAGTCAATGTCAATTTACATGTAACGTCTACCTTGAATTTGATATAAAAGTTTTCAATCTATTCATTGTTGTGGTTTGCCCCTGAACTAGTAAGATAAATATATAGTAGTTTATTTACCTTTAATTTTCGTCTTAGATTAAAAATAGTTGTATCTACATCCACGGTTTTGACGCTAGTTGCGTCATGATCACTGAATGTTACTTCATACTGAAAGAGAGTTTTCCAGCCAGATGCAACGACTTACAATTAATTAAGTACAGTTTGTCACAGGCCACAGGCCTGTATTCCGTCCAGAAGAACCATTTGAAATTTTAGTAACAACGTACGTGTGTTTGTGTTCATGTAAACATAATGATGTCCAAGCGACCGACTAGCACAACAACGTGATATTTCTGGACATGGTACCTACGTGATTATGACGCAACAAGCGACTAAACCACGGTTACAACTATTTTATGAGCTGGGACGAAAATAAATAAAAAATAATCTACTGTGTTTACAACTTATCAAAGTTTGAACACAATATTTTTTTATTTAACACCCTTTTTCAACTCGTTTTACAACAACTACCTACAATACTTGTACAATACAATACAGTACTTCTAGTGAATATAGTATGTTATTTACGGTTTAAATAATTATGTCACAAGAATGTTGTATTCATCAATAAAAATACAATAATAAAGTACAGTTATTCATATTTTAATTTAACTAAAACTTTTGAGAATTTCCCTTACTTTTTTCTTAAGTTCATATATTTATACAATTGTTCATCTCTCATTTAACCAAATGATATTTTGAATATTGTATTTAATTTGTTAATGGTCACAATGTTCAGTAAGTTGTTGGAATGGTAATTGTCAATCATCAATAATTTTTTTAGCCTCTGGATTGCTTATATCAATTTGATATGATGAGGTCTTACCTTAGCAAACCTAATATTGTCGATCCAACGAAATCGATTTTAATTCAAACTCAAAGGTTGATATCAGGTGGAATATAGGTCAACCAAATTTCAAAGTTGTATCCATCCGTTGGGGTTCCTAGATATGTTGGCAACTTGTTTCCAGGTAAAAGTAAGGTTAACCCATATTTCAAAACCTTGGTTTTTGTCCCTAATTGATATGTCAAATTCGTGTTTATTGTAAAGTATTCAGTATGATCATATCTTCTACGAAACCCTTCAGGGGGATACAGCTTTTGAAACTTAGTCAACCTAGACCCCGACTGATGACGAACCTTCGGGTTTGAAATCGACATCGTTACATCGACAATATTAGGAGTCCTATGGTAATACCTCATCATATCAATTCAATATCAATGATTATTGATTTTAACAAAATTGTTTGTATTAAATTATTAAATACTTACAACGGAGCAACGGACCGAGTAGTCTCCTAGAACCTCAAGCTCTTCCTGCTTCCTCTTCCAGTAGGCGTCCATATCAACTGTAGGCTCTCCATTTTCCACCTCTTCCTCAACCTCTTCCTCAACCTCTTCCTCAACCTCTTCCTCGACCTCTTCCTCGACCTCTTTCTCTACCTCCCCCACCCCTTGGAGGGGCTCCCCTTCTTTCCACATGGATTGTGACTGTAGCCTATACTGTGACGTGGACCACTGGTGACGTATGATCCTACCTGATGACGTCATCACTGTGGTCATCGTCTCTGATCCTACCACTCTTGTAACCTGTATCACATCATGTGTAACGTCTTTCACCTGTGGTAAATTAACATAGAATTAAATTCGAATGGAATGAAAGCACATACGTAGGTATTGTTTAATAGGGAATTTTCATTGATTCTTAACATGATTAATACTGGGCCTAAGGTATATTTGCCCGTGTGATGAACTATACTTTTCGTTTAGTTACAACATTATTGTTATAAAATCAAGCCGGGAAACAAACAAATTTTCTTACGTTAAGGTCTAAAGAAAAACTGTTTAGTAAGTTAATCATATAGTCTATTACGATTGTGTTAGCATATATTATACTATCAATATGTTGAACAATTGTCAATAATACAAAAATAAGCTAAAACCGATTAAATCAATCGATGCACAAAAGAAGGTTACAACAGATTTTACAACAGATGCCTTTTTTAGGAGCTTAAAAGGCTTTTACTTCCTGGGGAGTAACAAGGCTACTCTAAACTCACAACTTATGTTTTACAGATGAATGTTTTTTGTTGTATTATGGCTACTCATTTTTATATTGGATGAAGTCTACTCTGTGTATAGTAAATGGAGAATTGTTTGCGGTGCAATATTTGGACACAATAGTTTGCACCAACAAGTTCACATGATTACAGCCATCTTATGGTGATGCGATGGCTAAGTTAATTCTGTTACATTTAACTATGATCAAATCAACGTCGGTCATTACCACGTAGTGGGCCTCACAAAGCTCGCCATCATTGTTGACAGTTCTCGCTGTAACCTCGCCTGTCAGTCGACTCATGGCGAGTCTCCTTAGCAACAGAACATTCGCACCTTCCAGGATCAGAGTCTCACACTCCGTCTTGGGCAACTCTGCGTTGACTCTGGTCCCCGTCTTTCGCTCAAGATCTGTTGCCACCATGAACACTCTGAAAATATACCGTATATGCAAATATTGGTATTAGGAAAAGTATTTTTTCTACCGTCCTTCTAATGACGTTACATTATATGTATGAGTGGTTTTAGCTTATAAGTTGGAAAGTGTACTTTGCGATACGATTTTTGAGGCATACAACATTTATCACATGTGCGTAACAGCCATTCTAGTTTTATAAAAGAGTTTTCTAAAAGAGGGAAAGTGTTTTTATTTATTGGACATTGCCTTTTCCTAATAAATTAGGTGTTTCCTACTATTATATAACATTTGAAAAAAAACTTAATTCTTCTTTCTGAATTTCGCTGTAAACTGATATCGATATGAATAATATTTTAACACCAATCTACACATCAGCACCAGTATCTTCTCCAAAACTACTAAGCATTTTTATGTTTGATGTATCCTACTAAACAGTACAAGAAGCCCAACAAGCGAGTAAGCTATGTTTTCTGGCCAATGTTATCTGTTGCGTCTTGGTAAAAGTGTTAGCACTAATACCACGTACTTTCCATTGTATACAGTCAGGTCTTCAACATAGGTAAGAATAGAGTATGTATGTTAACTTAACTCCTCACACTTCTTTCCCGTTCTTTCCATACTCACCTGTATACGTCAGCCATGTTAGTAATCCTCAGCAGTTTTGACGTCATCTTCCTAACCTCAGACAAGGTTTCCAAGTCCTTGGTCACGTGACTCATTGTTCTTAACACGAGGTTTTTGTCCTGACTGTACTGAAACACGTCGAACATGTTTGCCCCTTGTTCACTCTGCTCCACCGAAATTATCACCTGTTGAGATCACTTTTGTTAGACAATGATATCCCATAACTATTGTCATTATCAATTGAGATGAGGAGGCCATCTAGATGCGTATCTTAACTAAAATACGAGTGAAGGATGAGTGTAGAATTGTGTGGTAATCTGTGTAGCTTTGGTACTGACTAAGTCAGCTTTTTCATTTTTCAGGATAAGGGACAGCTGGGTCCAGTTTTGAACCATCAAAAAAGTTCTGACTTTTCTCAGGATCAAACTGATGACCTCTTGAATGTTAGGCGACCAGCCCTTAGCTATCCAGCCAGCATGGGTAGAGTAGGTTAGAGTACGATTATTGCTTGCTATGTTTATTTTCTTCTGTTAAATAGGAAGTAAAACTTATACTATTGCAATTTTCAATACCCTACGACCCCGATATTGGTCTAAATAATTCCGCAAACTATTTTTAATTTATAGCCCACGATATTTATAAAAATACTATTCTTAACTTGGGTTTGGAGATTGTTTACACATATTTTATTCTGTTTGGTTTTGTAAAACAAGTCGTCTGGGCTATTTATATTTTAAAATAATTATTTTAAAACAAATGGTATGCTAAGAACTATTGTAGATAAACTACAAATGAACAGACATGAATCAATTTCCTTTATTCTAACAACCCTTCATGTTATTTTTGTATGTTGACTTATTGCTAAATACCACTTAAAGATTGGAGCTAAGTAAGAAAATATCCATGGATCGAGCCTGTATCCTAAGGTTAATTCAGATACACAATTGGTTATTAAATACTAACGTAACCTTTTATATTTATTGCCTTATTATAGTAGTTTATATATAATTTATAAATGTACCTCATCGACCATAATTCCATCTCCGTTCACAAGTTGTAATCTGTCTTCAAATATCAATTTGGAACATTCTTCCTCCGAAATATTAAACGGACTGAATTCCAATAATTTCCCGTGCTCACTTCTGATGGACGGAGTAAAACTTTGAACAACCATTTTGAAATAAGATTAGTTACCGGTTTAAATTGCGTTAGGCGAATCAATGTAGCTTGACAGGAAACTTTAATAAAAATGAAACGTAATGTTTACATAACATAATTTTAGGTGATGTCAAAAACACATGTTTGACAATTTGTAAAGACAATTTGCAGTTTGTTTGACAAAGTGTAAAAATATCATATGATATGAGCTTGTGAATTTCCCAAAGGCCTTGGAATAAGTAGAAAAACAGCTACCTTCAAAAATGTAGATGAAATGATGAATAAGTAGTGCCAACACTGTTGTATACAAGGATAAATTAAACCAACGCAACTGGACAGTCGGGAAAGTGATATAGAGTTTAAACTATAGTTTAAATTTAAATTAGTTTAACTTAAACCACACTTGGGGATTGGGAAAGCGGCCCTATATAACATATATATAGTTGTTTGTTTGATAACCATTGATATCTCAATCGAGTTTAGTTTTGTTCCTAGTTACAATGTCTGTCTTATAATCAAAGTTTCATAACTAGCTTGGTGAAGTTTGCCGTAATGTTGGTACTTTGTACAAACTTTGTACAAAGAACACAGTTAAATGTCAACAGTTGTAGTTTACCAAACATGAGTTGTTAAAGCAGATAATTATTATACGGTTTTTATCCCTAATATTAATGTTAAATTTGAGAAGTGACTCATCCACACACTCCAGGCTATGTCACGCCTCAGTTTTATTATAGTGTTTTGTCACCGGATTTGGTTTGGAGTTGGGTCGTTTCGCAGCAGACCTGCAGACCCGGAGTCAACGTCCGCATTTCTGAAACATGTTTCTGTCAAGACCATTCGGTTTTGTTAAAATGTATCTGTGTAAATTGTTTAATGTGTTTGTTTTTTGTCCTAATTCTCGTCGTTATTGATTTAGTGATTGATTAAGTGGTTCGCCAAGCCAGATGAGGTCCCGAATGGGAGGCTTCAAACAGCTACTGTCCTCGGAGAGGGTCGTACGGGAGACACTTCATCTTCTCCCGCATCGAGCTGCCAGCCACCCCTGCTCCTTGGACCGTTAAGCCGCCCAACACCACCTACCACCAGTTTGAACTACCACCGTCACTAGATGGACAAACATAATACTGATAGTGGACCACCACCGTTTGTTCCGCATGTTGATTTTTGACCTAAAATTTTCTTTAAAATTTTTGCAAAATATATTTGTATCATATTGCAAAAAAAGTTGAAATATACAAGGTTATAATTATATTGCGTGTTAAGGCCCATTTATACGTAACCAAATAGAAAGTATGTATTTGTGGTATAACCTAAACATGGCATATATATACATATATACAATTTACTTTAAATTACCTTTAATTCATTATAAATCACGTTCCTTATAATCGTTGTAGATTTGCAAACATGTTGCAAACTTTTTAATGTGATTTATTAGGGAATACAGTTTCGGATAAGATTTATAGATTCTCATAGCATTTCGGATTCCTATCAGAAATGGCAGGATTTTTGGAACACTGCCATTTACTCGATTGCCTTTTTGATTGATTAAAATTTGGTGGGTTGATATTTGGAAAGGTCTCATTTGACAGTTCTTAAAATTAAATTATATTGTGATCATTATGTGTAAATGTATATGAACTATTTCAATTACCTTTTATATTTCAGTAATCAATTCAACTATCCGTATAGAATTTCCTTAATTGTTTTTCCTATTGGTATTTTCCATAACTAAAAGTTTTTTTGTAAAAAGAATTGGTTTTATATGAGAAATGACTCTTGGATATAAGTTCGTTGTCGTCTATACCTCAACAGAATAGTATTTCATTACTAGGAACGAAAGTGGCATTTTCCTGGCGCGTGCTTAGTTTTTGTGTGAGGCGAAGTCGAACGCAGGGAACCCCAATTTCACGTGCTAGGCGAAGCCGAGTATGTGAGAGCTATTTTCACGTACGAGGCGAAGCCGAGGACGGGAATAATGGATCAAGTGCCGGATAATAACTTTTGGTACGAGTTATTGAAGTATACTTTTCATCACGACGCATAAATACACAAACACAGAATAGCAGACCTCAGTAATATTACAATTAATGTATTTCTCAATTAAATTTGATTAAACATAAAAATTAAATAAAATATTCTAAAAGAAAACCTACATACATTTTCGATTAAATTTTAAAACATAAAAATAAAATATTCTAAAGGAAGGCTACGTTTTTTTCTTAGTAAATTTGGTTTAAACAGTAAAATAAAACAATAAAACAACTTTTAACAATAAATACAGCTGATTCAAATCATTAAATTAAATCGTATCAAAACACTAGCACACGTAGTGAGTAAATGGTGAACTAATTGAGAGCGAGGGAAAGTAAATTTATAGCGAGGAAAATCAGCCGATCCATTTTCCCTCACCCTAAATTAGAGCTTGGGAAACGACTACTCTCATTGATGTCAGCTGTTATCGAAAATAGTTACTTTCGTTACGGAGTGATGAAAACATATTTAATGGAATACCAAAATACAGAAACAACACTACTAGTTGAAAAATAATCTTTAACCATGCACATAGCGTAAAACTTGTCTCTAAAGTTAAAGCAGACAAGTCAACTTACATCATATCACAACAATAGTCATCTCTCGACGGAGAACAACAACTCGAGCAACTGGAGTAATTACTATGATCATTGTTTGCGCTGAGTTCCTAGTTGAGCTTTTGACTGCTCTTCTAGGCTAAATTGGCAGTTAGGATTTTATGAGACATTGGAACTGCAGTTTTGTTTTCGGATTGTTAAAACTTTAATATTTTGACACATTTATCTAATTAATTGTAAAGAATTAAATTAGTCTCGGTTGGTTTTCAGAAGTAGATTTTTTTACTACAACAAAAACTCAGCTACTCTGCCAAAACTATTAGTGCTATCAAGTTATAATAAGTAATAATCTACTAATTTACAAATAAAACCATTATAATCTGTAAAGTCATATGGGCACTAAAATCGTTTCTAGCTTCCATAAAACTACAATAAAGTATGAATTTAAAGGTCTATTTATTGGAGTTTTTTGTGATTGTTTAATATCATGTGGTATCAAAAGTTTAAACAATATGTTTTAAGGAAGATAAAGAGATTATTTAAATAAAATATATACAATCAGAGGTAAATGAGACTATCAAGGGCTGAATACAAGCATTTAACATTGTCTTTACGACAGAGACATTTGTTCTCTGTTTCGTACAAGATGTTTTTACACCAGAATATTTTTTGTTTCCAAGACTTAACCGCATTTAGTTTTATCAATGTCGTAATATCTCGTCACCGTTAAATAAAATTCCAAATTAAATACTATCTAGATAGCTGAGTAGACGTGTAGGCTTGAATACACTTGCCTGGTCAATCCTAAAAAAGTCAGAATCTTTTATATGGGAAACTGGATCCAGCTGATCGTATTATTAATGTTTGGTTTAGTAACTAGTTACAGTAAGCGCCACAACAGCGGTGGCTAACGAACATGTTGGCCTTAGTCACTAACAACACTACAAGATCGCGCCACTCATCCTACACTCATCCTTCACTAATATTTGGGTAAAACTGTGCACATAGTAGCGTAACATTTTAATAATCGATAAATGTCTATAATTACATTATTCCCTGACGCTTCAATCAAGCTTGTACCATTTGATCCTAATTTTATCTAGAAGGTGAATAATAATGTCCAAAAGTGCAACTAAAAAATAATAAAATCTGATTACAATCTTTAAATTATAGTTTTTCCAATCTCTTACAATAATTTTATATAATGGTTTCAGAGATTTATATTTTTCATTATTCATTTTGCAAACCTTGCAAGATTTCCGTTAACAGATTTTCCAAAAGTACTTTTTACTATTTAAAGCACTAGCTATCACAAAGTATCATTTATTTATAACTAAAGAAATGAAAAAAAAATATACAAAATTTGTGGATTCAAATAAAACATTAAACAAAAGGACATCAATAAAACACACAGAACTGAAAGAGCTGGGATATATTAACGACATGTTCATTGTACAATTTATAATGAACTTTACCGTTTATATGAATTGACTTTTCGTAAAAACAACTTTATTTTAAAATTTCAAATGATCGAATTGATTCAAAATAAAAATGGAATACTAAAAATGTTCCGAGTGATACCGTTAAAACATCGCCTTGTTGATAATTTCTGCAAAGGAATTTTAATTTGTTTCTCTGTGGTTAGTTTTAATTAACATTCCTCCCTTAAACCAAATGCGGTGACTCTTTATAATGCGTTTAAACTTGTTTTTGACATTTTTCAATTCCGCGTAAATAATAAAATTTGAATTACTTGATTGCTTGTCAAGTACAGAATGAACAGAATATAGTTATTTGTGCAACTAGTGAGAAAAGTGAGCAATTGACTCACTCGAGAGAAATCCTTACTCACGAGCCGTAGGCGAGTGAGGAATAGTCCAGGCAAACTAAACAAACTTACATAGGGACCGTTAAAAAAATTGCAAGAAAACGTTTTATGGTTTTATTTTGTAGAGTTGGGTTTGCAGAATGACATACTAAAAGTTGCCAAAAATCGGTGCACGAGAAAACCACTAAAATCACAATTTAAAATGGCGGCTTTTTTCAACATTGGACAAATTAAAAAAACATATTTCACATGCATTTGCTATGCACATTTTTCGAGATATTGACTTGGGACCACCGCCTGTATTTATTGAGTGGTTAGTACTTCATTTTGATAGGGAACATGTTTTTGGCCGCCATCTTGGATCCGCCATATTGGACATAGATAATTTTTTTTCAATGTAATGATAGTGTTGTGACACATCATTACCAACTACATTTTTACACTGATTTCAATGCCGAAATCCGTTTTTAAATATCTTTATTCATTTAGAAGATATATACAAAAGAAAACTTTGCACCATACATTTCTTATGGACGTTTCGTAGTTTGATATTTTTTTTTAATTATTTTTCTTATATCTCCAGTTCTTATTAACGCTTGTAGTTCGTTCTAGGCTTAAAATATTCAGTAATGTAAGGGCTTTCATTTGAGCTCTTGATCATTAA